AAATATTTCTTCAAACGTTAAAATAACGTTTTTTTTAATGGAAAAAAGAGCACTTAACCCATTATTTAAATGTTTTTAAAAATGTTTTTTTAATGTATTTTAAATATTTTTAAAAATATTTTTTAAAACATTGTGTGCTGATTGGGAATATTCGGTCGGTTCTTTATCAAATATTAGTCTTACAGATTCTATAGAAAAACTATACAAATATTTGATATATATTTCTTAATTTTCATACAAGGAAACAGATGCAAGATTTCATTACATAATTATGGGCGATAAAAGCAATGTTTAATATTATATTACTAATCAGTACTATAAGAAATAAGAAGTAAATATCACTATTTACTATTAATAAATTATGTAATTTATGCAAGTGTTTACAAATATATAAAATTAATAATGTTACTAAAAAGTAAAGTGAAGCAATTACAAATTTTTTTAACCTTGAAATCATTTTTTTAACTTACAAATAGATACAAGAACAGATTGATTGTTAAATTAACATACAATTATATTAATTTATAGTTCTATGCAATTATTAATATGACAAACAAACATGATTCTTTCATTAACTACAAAGAAAAAATCCAGCTGTACATTTTGGCACCAGATTTGAAAAAAAAAATATTCGATACACACGCACGCATACAGGATGTTCCATCTTAAATAACGACCTCAAATATTTCTTGACCAGTGCACTTTAGAGAAAAATGTTTCGGATAAAAGTTTTGTAACTTCAAGAGAGACATAAAGGTGTCATTGGTTTGACTTAGGATAGTCATTTGAAAATTACATAAAAGTCACCTTCAATTTCTTAAATAGAAATCTTCATTTTCTATTGCATATTCTTGTAGCTTTTCTCGAGAGCTTTCAAAACATTAAAATACGTGCGCGTGCGCGCGCAAAATCCGATCGAGCAATCTCTGCTTGGTATACCTTGAGTAATGCTGATACCTGTAACTTTCATTTCAGCTTTATAATTCGAAAAATACTTAATGAAAAAAAATTTTATTGTTTTGAAAAGTTCTCGAGGTAAGCTACAAGAATATGCAATAAAAAATGTAAGTTTCTATTTAAGAAATTGAAGATGACGTTTATGTAGTCTTCAAATGCCTCTATATAAGATCAAATCAATGACACCTTATGTCACCCTTGAAGTCACAAAACTTTTGTCTGAAACATTTTTCTCTAAAATGCCTTATTCAAGAAATATACAAGGTCGTCATTTAAAATGAGTCACTGTATATATTTAGTATAAAAGTTATCGTATGGAAGATATAAAAGTGGAGTTATTTTCAAATCTGTTTAATTTCGCCGCTGCAATGTGAGCAACATGTCATATTATTTGCGTCGCATCGTGGAAGAAACATTTGTCCGCCAACTGCGACAGCCGCTCCCATCACCGCGGTACAGGCAACATCTTCTCTCCCTGTCATGGGTAATTTTTGATTCATCAGCAACTGCAATTTAGATATTAACTCATTATATTAAAATATTATGTCTCATCATAAGGAATTTAAAAATTAAATAGCCCTACTTTTTCTGCGTTGTTCTCCGCAAGCGTTTTCATATCTAAACCGGTTATACTCAGTTCTTTCTGCAATTTCGAGTCTGGTATACCACTCAGAAGACTGAATCTGAGAATTTCCGAAAGTTGGCAACATCCTTGAGCAAGATCGATAATATTGGTGCTGGCTAATTCGTGTTTTTTACCAGACGTTGTTCCTATGGTATCGAATTTTTCCCGTAGGATTGTCAGCATTCTGCATCAAGATTACTTGTAAGTTTAACAAAATTATATAAATATACTGTATAACAAACACTTGTAAAATATACCTGTATGTTTTGAGCGATGTATCACGAATAGTATTATGTTCTTCTAACAGTCGTTTTATAGTTTCCTGCAGTTCTGTTGTTCTTTGGCAGAGTGCAGCTTTCCATCTTGCCAAATCCTCCACCATTAAGCTATAATACACATCGTTTTAGCAACAAATCAGAATGCTTATTATTATGGCTGTTTTTCATTTCTATTAAAGTTTAATTATATATATATATATATATATATATATATATATATACATATATATGTATATTATATAAGCGTTTTGATTTGTTGCTAAAACGATGTATATATATATATTAGATCTAATGCAAACCAAGAGAAAAAATTGTAAAAATTCCGAATATCTCGGAAATAATTGTCAATTACCTACTAGCTAGAAATTTACTTCTCCAAACTTCACATTGACCTGCTAGCCATTCTGTTTGTTCTTGATGCGTAGACAAATGTTGGGCTGAATTTAGGAGAGCTCTTGCAAGTTGCAATTTATCCTCAGTTAACAGATGAACCCTTGTTTCTAAATCTTCTCCCACTGCAGCAACCAATAAATTCTTTAATTCTCCATTGACCTGTGTGCATGTACATATATCCGGCATTAATTAAACATTACACTAAATTTTGTTTAATTCTTTGCTTCCTTGTATAATGTCTCATGTATGAAAAAGACAGCTTTTTTTGCATATTCTTATGCAATCCATAACTGGTTTGTGTAACATATTTGGTACTATTATGTTTCAAGTATAAGACATACATTTTAATATAAATAACATAAATGTCATTATTTTGCATTGATAATAAATTATAAACAAAATACTAGTCAAAATTAGCAATTTTTTAAATTTATATTGAAAAGAAAAAGATAATAAATGTCCTGAAAATCTTTACATTAATATTTTAAGATACTAATTTCAAATCTATATTCAAAAATTTTAAAAATTTAAAATAGTAAATCCAATATAGTCAAAATAATTAAAATTTTGAAAAATTATTTTTATTTACTTTATATTAGTATATTTACATTTGAGATTCTGCCACGTTCTCGTTGTCTGGATTCTGTTAAGACTAAGAGTAATTTTTTCATCAAAAAGTAGCGAAGATTTCTTCGGCAGAGAATCTGATATTTTGAATTTTCAAATTTTGATTGCAGATTTGAAATCAGAAACCTAAACAGCTCTTACATATAAAATTTTCGTTATGTACAAGCTAGAATAAAATTTTTTTTAAATTTTGCTGAAATATTGGATCTGCCATTTTGACATTTTAAATTTTGACTTCGCATTTGCATCAAACCCAAACATCCTCCTAAACTCTAAAGATAAAAGATAATAAAATAGGATTAAACAAATTGTGCAACAAAGAATTAATGTACAACTGTTTTACCTGTGCTTGAAATTTTAACTGAGTTTCAAGCTGACTATTTTCTTCTTTCAACTTGCGACTCTCAGCCTCATACATCTTTTTTTCATTGTTCTCGTCTATCAATGTTTTCTCTTTGCTTTCCTTTGCACAATCTCTCAGCCTTGCATCGTTGTCTTGGATTTTCATCGCAGCGATTTGCGCAACTGTGGCATTTAAGTTAGATTTTTTCTTAGGTAATTTTTTGTTCTTTTTTTCAAATGGTACTATTGGATTAACAGCTGCCTTATATGGTTCATACGGTACAAATTTTGGTTCTTTTGATTTTAAGGAATGCAAGATATGTTTCTCTGGTTTTGTATTACTAATATTTTTTGGTACCAAGTTTACTATTGTACCAATGGGAGTGACCGGAGCTGTCGAGCCTAATTGCTTCAGGTTTGTGGGATGGTAAATAAGAGTATCTCCCAGACGACTTCGACTTTGTTTAATCTCGGTTTTGTCTGTCATCGCATTTTCCATGCCATCTCCTTGCGTTCGTTCCACGCAACCCATCATATGAACATCTTGAAAGATAAAAGTTATTAATCGAGATATAAAAGTTGCATCTATATGCCGTTATAATGCAATTGAAATATTTTGAAAATTTGTAACATTGTTAAAGTTAGCAAAGTGAATTGTTGACATTAACAGTCATTATTTACAATGACACACTTTGTATTTAAGTAAACTAACCTGGCTGACAGTGAACACTATTTTTCTTCAGATTTGTAGAAGTATTCATGTTTGGCAGTGTAGACGGTTATCGCAGATAATTCTGTAATATATTCTGTAAATGTCGTACGGTCAATATTTACATTTCACGCGAATACGATATAATATAAATAAGTTTTTTTATGTTAATAGTAACTACATATGGTAGAAAAAGAAAGAGGTTAGCGCTGGCTGTCTAGACTCTGGAGCCTGGGCCGACTGAACCAGACTGAATCACTGATGACTGAACACGACGAACACGTGACAGTATTGATAGTGCTGGATGATGTTATTCCTTGTTCCGACTGTTCCGAGTTCCGAGAGAATGGAAGCCACATATATGTATGATTATACATTTACACGTTACTCTTAATCGGGTTTAATAACATCTGTAGCTATTAAAGTATAATAACTAATCAAAGCTAAAAAATATGAATTTTTTATAATTTTACTTTATGAATAACTAAAGAAATCTTATGTAAAAAGAATTACATTATTATATTTAAAAAATAGCGATAGCCATATATATAGATATGAATTTAAAAAATTAATTTTTTCGAAAATTGATTTTATCGGCCATTATTTATCCATCTTCAGATCATATAACTAATTTTTTGTTTGAAATATTTTTGCCTGTTATTGGATCTATTGTATATATTTGTCTGATGTTTAAAATAGCTAGGACCCCATACAGCACAAAAAGATTGCTGATATATTGCAGAATATAGTTTCATTGAAATATTGCAATATTGCAAATTGGTTGCGAAACATTGCTGCATCATTGTTGTATGATTGCGGCAACGTTAAGATGAGATCGGAAGAGCACACG